GGTGCACCTTGTGCCGGGGACAATAAAAGGCCACTCTAAAATGTGCAGTTTTGTCACACGACACAATGCCACAGATGTCTCATGTTTTGAAGGAGCGTGCAATTGGCATGCTGACTGCAGGAATGTCCACCAGAGCTGTTGCTAGAGAATATAATGTTAATTTCTCTACCATAAGCCGCCTCCAGCATCATTTTAGAGAATTTGGCAGTATGTCCAACCGGCCTTACAACCACAGACCACGTGTAACCATGCCAGCCCAGGACCTCCACATCCGGCTTCTTCGCCTGCGGGATCGTCAGAGGAGGGGAGGGTGCTGAGGAGTATTTTTGTCTGTAATAAAGCCCTTTTGTAGGGAAAAACTCCTTCTAATTGGCTGGGCCTGGCTTCTAAGTGGGTAGGCCTATGCCCTCCCAGGCCCACCCATGGCTGTGCCCCTGCCCAGTCATGTGAAATCCATAGATTAGGGCCTAATGAATTTATTCCAATTGATTGATTTCCTAATATGAACTGTAACTCAGCAAAATCTTTGAAATTGTTGCATGTTGCGTTTATATATTTTTTCAATATAGAAGTAAAGTGATGTTTGCTGATTGACCATTGGACATTTGCCAAGTTAAATTTGCACCAAGTGCAACTCGCCTTGTATGACCCGATTTATAATACAATTTTTTGTTCAGTATAGTTGCTAAAAGGAATTATATATACAAAGTGCAAAGTGATCATGCTGTTTTTATGTGTCTGCTATGAAAGTGAACTTCGTGTGTGATCAGGGGTGTATTCATTCCGCCAATTCTTTTGAAAAACGTTTCTTAAACGGAAGCAAACGGCACGAAACGGGGATAAACATACCTGAATTTGTCCAATAGAAACTCTCATTATGAAACTGTTGGACTAATGATTACACCCTAGATCAGCTAGATGAAGGCAAGAGTGTGCAAGGTGGTATTGAATGTGTCACTGTCTGTCACTTTGATTACTCAAAATTCTCTCAACCTGTGCACCTACGTTGTAAACTTTCATTCATAGGCTAGGTTGTAGCAACCTCATGATGGGTACAGGGAAAATTTGAGTATCATGTAGTAGCCTAAACCTATCAATGTTACATTGAGCTGGGTGAATGGAATATGAATGACAGTCATCCAATATGCTGTAATAGAAATAAGGCCATGCTCATACAAACAAAACAAAAATCATCCTCCCTCATCTTAAACGGCATCGACAGCCACTGATGGACAGCGACATGATATTTAGCCAAATTGATAGGACTAAATTGTTTTTGGTATCATTTAAGTTTGTTTTTAGTGCATTATAGTAACCATATATAGCCTTGTTGATTTGATATTTAAATGTTTAAGTTGAGATGGTGCTGGAATAGCGGAGGAAGTGCTCGTGTTGTCTTTGGGCTGACTTGGTTCTAAATCAGTAGTGGTTTAGTAAACTGTCAAACATTAACTTGCTTGACCGTGCTGCAGGTGATATAACTGTTTGTATGCAATATTTGCTTTGTAGACTTCACTGGACAGATGTTGCTTTCCAGTTTTGTGATGAAACAAACTTATGTGTAGTCAAAATTTATTCCGCCACTGTGTGACTGTTGTCTTTTTGTTGTCACGGTCTTATTGTATGTCATGGTGGCGTATGAACGAATGGGTTATAGAACAAATAACGCAATTATCACAACAAAGGTTGTAATATGGCTTTTTTACTGACTAGGCTTGGCTTCCTCAGTGATATTTAGCATCAACTAGCGCTAACTGGGCTAGTCATTGTCTAAATGACAGGTCCAAACACATTCATAACCATAAAGGGTTTCAAAATTTCAATTTTTTTTATAAACTTACCACAAAATAGTTTTGTTTAAATATTTCCAAAAGTTGTGATGACACAGAGGACATTTTGTGTTGAGCAAGAGCAGTGGCAGCAAGGGAAAGTGTTGGGGAAATAATTTGGTGACATCTTGTGGTCTTTATGTGAATTACAGGGGGGAGGGGCTGTTACCCCTAGTACCCTATAATGCAGTTGATTTGCGATGATGACCAACATTATATTAAACAGGACATTCATACAAGTCTTAAAATCCAATTATAATCGAAAGGTAGTGTGAAATGCACTAATAAGCAACATGTTCTATAATAACTCTCCCTTGTTCTGTCCTAGTGTGGCAATGCTTGCAAACACAGAAAGGGGCCTATACTGAGACAGAGAGGCACTGTTTCCCTCGCTCGGATGATTTCTCCTATGAGATTCAGCCACTTGCGAATTCAAGGAAAATTATGAAAACACAGAGAGAGACGAAAGATAAACTATTTTATAATTTTAATTGATTTAATAGTCAAATATTTGTGGAAGCCTGGCTTCCCTTGGCAGCCATGAATACACGCCACTGAAATTGTATCTTCATTTTTTTTGCAGACCATCTAATCATTTGACGATCTGACATAATGGTAGGCAACGTTTTCGGTTTAAAATTAGTGATTGACAATTGTTTTAGGTCAATTTCTAAGCATTACTGAACGAAGAGCCGTTTGGGAGTCAAATTAACGGTTATTTTAGGTGAACGGAGCCAAATGATCCGGGTCACAGAAAAGACTAGGGAATGCCCATCACTAGTAGCCAGTTGATGTGATAACCATCTTGTGGGCTGACAGAAATACTTTCCCCAAAACCTTCTAAATTAAATGTTAACTGCAAAGTAGGCTTACCTGGCAGAAGTAAATTATATAATGATTAAGTATATCATTTGTATCTATTATTTGTTAGAAGCTAACTTTGCCATTAAATGAACAGCAACAGTACAAAACCATCGCTAGACCAGCACATTAGATGGCACACTAAGATGCGCAATTAACGGGGAATTACACTCCAGATGTTTTAGTTTTCTCCCAGAACCCCCCAAAAAAGTGTCTTCTGATGTGATTTAAGCATTGACATCGACTCAGAACATCCAATTTCGTTGTTTCTCTATGAACAATTGTAATTTTGAGAGTGAAAAACCTCAAAAGAAATCTAAAACCAGGGGGGAAAAAAACGAGAAAACAAATTTGGGAAAATATAAAACAGAATTTGGGAAAGAAATCACAGATTTTATAGACCATCCACATTATTTTACCAGGTATATTGACAGAAAACAGCGCACTACTTTCTCTTGAACACTAAGGACCCGGGGAAGAGTTGCAGGGGAGAGAAGAAGAGAAGAATATGCCTATTCGAAAGCTAGAAAAAAATGAGTAGCTCGTGACAGAAAGTAAAAGTATCTCTTATGCTAGAAAAGGTTGGAGACCCCTGCTCTAGCGCCCCTGTACTCCCCTACCTGCTGCACTCTGGGATCAGGAGTGCATTGTGCAAGTGTACAGCAACAAAAACCATGTGGTATGTCTTTAGTGCATGTTTCCATCAGTGCTGGTTTCACTGAAACCAACACAGCTGTTGGGGTTTCGTTTGACAGAGACAGGCCAATACAGAGCTGTTTTAAATCTGCACATTTATTAAAAACAGACATTTCATTGTATATTATCTGTTCCAGGATTACAGATGGGTCCTGGCCTGGGCAACACCTTCATAGTATATTATCTGTTAGGGTGATGAGGTTCCAGTATTAGAGATGGACCCTGGCTTGGCCAACACATTATAACCAATCACAGGCAATGGTAGCATTCTTGCCTGACTTCATTGCAGATGCCTGTCAGATCACCAAACACCTGGATAGGGGTTTAACATGTCAGCTAACCACACCATATGATATAGAAATCTGATGTTCGACTGCACAGACACTGGCACATCAAAGGCACAGTTTAGTGGCACATTTTAGAATGACCACTGGAGTGATCAGGTATTGCTGTACAGTCTAAGGATGAATAAGAAGTACATACATATGAACATGCATATGTTAAAACACACATACATGCAGACATACTCAAATGCCTGAAACATATAAATATGCTTGTGGACACATACACACCATCAAGTTAAAGTGCTTTTAGTATTGTTAACATACATCTCCAATACATATATTCCAGTGAAAAAGAATACATACAATAATAGGAACACTAAAAATCAGGGTTGGGGTGAATTCCATTTAAATTCCAGTCAATTCAGGAAGTACACTGAAACTCCAATTCCATTTCTCTTCGGTGCTTTTCAAAGAGCAACATTTGGAATTGGAATTTGGATTACTTTCTGAATTGACTGGAATTGAAATGGAATTGACCCCAACCCTGCTAAGCATATACTCAGATGAATAAGTACTGCTGCATATCGCATCGTTAGGGACAAAAACATACAGTATTCATACAATATCATATATTCAATCAAAATCCTCCTAGAAAAATTACATTTTTTTTTTTTCTCCAGTATTTCCACTCTCATGTCCTGCAGACAGAGTACCTTTCTATGTTAAAAACAGTAACAGTACCATGATTCCACAGGAGGTTGGTGGCACCTTAATTGGGGAGGACGGGCTTGTGGTAATGGCTGGAGTGGAATAAGTGGAATGTTATCAAACATCAAACACATGGTTTACTCCATTACAGCCAATATTATGAGCCGTCCTCCCCTCAGCAGCCTCCACTGCATGGTTCTGTGATTATGTCCTCGTAAACCATGTTTTGTCCCGGTAAACCAATCAACCTTGACCTTTCCAGTCCTCTCATAAAAAATACAGACAAATGAAGTTTAAAAAGCTTCCTTAGTCCATCTTTGATTACAGGACAGTAGACACAGATGGCATGTATTTTATCCCTTTGAAGGTTATCACTTGTTGAATCCTTACCAACCACAAGGGGGCGATACATACGCATCAAGTCCAAAAAAGAGTGTGTGTGTGTGTGTGTTCACATTTCCCAACAGGGGAGCAGCTCGTCTCTCTTTCATCAACTCTTTATTCTCACTTGATCATTTATCAGTCTCCATACAGATCTCCTCTCTTTTCTCCTTCCATCTCATTCATGCTTGCTCTCTCTCCCTCCATCCTCCCTCTCTCTCTCCCTCCATCCTCTCTCTCTCTAAACATTACTGATACGGACACTGAGGGGGCTACTATCTCTCCCCCTCCCCCTCCCCCTGCCCCTCCCCCTCTCCTCCCCTCGATAGCTCTCCTCTAGTTTCATCTTCTCCGGGTCCGCCCCTTCCTCCGCGCCCCCTCTGCTGCTGCGGGACGAGTGCATGGCCGGGCTTGGGGGCGGGGCCTGTTTGAAGAGGGGCGGGGTCTTAGTTTTGTCCACCTTGTCGAAGAAGGCGAAGTCGGCCACATACTTCCCAGACGGGGACAGGGAGACCACGGGGGGGAACTCGTACCCCCACAGGATCTCGTCAGGCAGGTAGGATGTGCGCACCTGGCAGGTGGCGGAGGTGGGCTCCACCGTGGCACTCATGATCACCAGCAGCTCAAAGTCTGCCAGATCCGGATCCATCCATCCCCCTCCTAGAACACAGGTAGAGTGAATGAAAAATACAAACTATTTAGCACTACAGATCCATAAGCAACAATTGGATATAACAATAAAAGGCTAAACGTTATTTCTAAAGATACCGTCTGATTTTACTACTCACAAAATAGATTTATTCTAAATTCCATGATCACTTCCAAGCATAGGACACAGACAGAATGAAAGAGATACACATCCATTATCATTATAAGCAAGAATGGGATAATAGCAATAAAAGGCTAATCTTTATTTTCCAACATACAGTAGCTACAGACCCATTTCTCTACTAAACCCAGATCACAAAATAGATGTACTAAATTCTCTGATCATTTCCGAGCGTAAAGTGGAGATCTAAACAGAGTCCATTGACAGAAGCCCCTTACCACATACATGTACACTCTCTCTCAAAACTAGTCTACTACAAAACACAAGAACACACACTAACTGAACACACAAATGGCTGCACCACAAAGGCCTATATACGTTCATAACGAACATCAAGCACACGAACAGCAAAGATACACACCCCCTTCAAGCACACTGTACATTTACATTGACATTTACGTCATTTAGCAGTCGCTCTTACCCAGAGCGACTTACAAAATTTACATGCAGTTGGTCCAGAATCCTATCATACATTCATACAAAGACATAAAAAAATAGATGATACCATTCACAAGCGCATTCCCATTCAGTTACACACAAGCACCATTGGACAAATGATCCGTATACAACACATTAGGAACACCTTCCTAATATTGAGTTCCACCCCCTTTTTGCCCTCAGAACAGCCTCAATTCGTCAGGACATGGACTCTACAAGGTGTCGAAAGCGTTCCATTCACCCTCTCACACATACACAATCCCATCGCCGCAGGAAGTAGAGTGCTGAGGGTGCTGCACCCCCTGAAAAGTCAGAATGAAAAAATATATATATATGCAAAAAAAATTAATAAATTGAAATAAATATTTGTTCACAAAAGTTGTGCACTGGGCCATTACAGGACGTATTAGAGGATAGATATATACTGTAGCGCTGGCATAACATTTTTTCAGCATCTCTCCTTTGGCAAAGAAGGTAGTTGTATAATTAAGAATAGTATATTGCAGAATTCAATAGTTGGAATTGTAAGAGTTGTTGCCCTGTCCCTTTCTCTGCTATTGTCATTCTAATGGCATCCAGAAAGAACAAAACCCTGTCCTCAAACATTTACATCAAAAGGTACAGTTATGGGCAAAGACACAAAACATCCACATCAAATTAAATATTTTTCTTGATCAAATAACATGGAAAACAACCACTTTTGTGCAGTATTAATTTACCATCCTTACAAACCACTTAATGTAAATGTACATTACTGTATTGTACATAGGCTGGTCATCTAGGTTTGTACCTGTAGACTTTCCATCACCATGAAGAAAAACAATGCACAAAACAGTAATTGAGTGTATTGAGACATCAAGTGGTTTGTGATGATGTGTGATGACATGGCTCAGTTGGTAGAGCATGGTGCTTGCAACACTAGGGTTGAGTGTTCAAATCCCACAGGGGACCAGTATGAAAATGTATTCACTCACTACTGTAAGTTGCTCTGGATAAGAGTGTGTAGTAAAAGGAATGAATAGACCATTTCAGTTTTAACAGAAATAAGTTGGATTTGCAAAGTATTTCAAGGAACTGGAAAACATATATCAAGCAAGTATTTTTATATTCCACAAGTATTATCAGATGAACTGTTTTGTAAAGATAATTATCAGACTCAAGTTACAGATGCTGGTAAACACTCACATACAATTATTGAAACATTTTTGCACAATCCATGTCTCAATTGTCTCAAGGCTTAAAAATCCTTCTTTAACCTGTCTCCTCCCCTTCATCTACACTGATTGAAGTGGGCTTAACAAGTGACATCAATAAGGATCATAGCTTTCACTTGGATTCTATGTCATGGAAAGACGAGGTGTTCCTAATGTTTAGTACACTCAGTGTGCACACTGAGAGATGTACCCTGTCTTCTATGAAAACAGTCCTTAACTCTAACACAGACTGCTCTCACTGAGGCAAAAACACAGCACTTCGTAACACACACACGCGCACGCACCAACGCGCACGCACGAATATCACACACGCACACAAGCACACACACACAATGCATGATATGGTAGACAGCCTAGTCTATTCAGTCTCTAATGTTGTTCTTGACTACTGGTTTGAGCAGTCCTGACAGTGCTCTTCTGAACAACCTTTACAACCTCTCTCCTCCTCTCTTCTCACTCCTGTTAACAATTACAGTGTACTGAGGGGACTCACGTTAGTGCACTCACTGTAAGCCCTTACTGAAAGTCCTGACAGTGTCCCACCATATTTGGCAAAGTCCCCAACTCCCCATCCGTGTGCCCCAAAGAGCTGCAGATATTTCTACAGAAATGCATCATGAGGAGCTGAAAGCTACCGTGAGAGGAGGCCGGATTAGAAGATAGATTCATAGATAGTACAGGGGCTATTATCGTAGTATTATGTACTGTTAGTAATTTGATTATTTTAATAATAGTATTATGATACTTTAAGATAGTATTAAGATTTTTGCAGATATTACTTACCGTACATTTTCAAGGTACACAGTGTTATCTGGGATCAGGCATCATTAAAAAGCAGTATTAAGTGTACAGTAACACAATGCCATACAATCTGACGACAGTCAGTTTAACAGGAGTAGTTTGGCCTCAACGAGAGAGAGAGAGAGAGAGAGAGAGAGAGAGAGAGAGAGAGAGAGAGAGAGAGCGAGAGAGACGAGATCGAGAGAGAGAATAGAGCTCAGTCTGCTCTCTCCAGATAAGACTCCCTCAGAGAGAGACAGATCCTTACCTAGCCCTGTGGTTTAGTGGTGATTAGGTGCTGCCCTCCTTGTAAGGCTCCCCCCCTGCTGTGTGTCAGCACCCCCCTCCTGTCCCAACTGTACCCCATTGTCTTTTAATGAGAAGCCCTGGCACCCACTCACACACACAATTCCACTGACACACAGAGAGGAGAGAGAGAGAGACAAAAAAAACCCCTCTCCCGGTGCCACCCTAGACCCCAAAAAGTCCACTATCAACTCGTGAAACCAATAGGACCCTCTCCCTACCCAAACGACCCATTGAGCACAAATCCACTGGAGTCCACTTTTATCCTTTTTTTTTTGGGGGGGGGGGTACCAAAAGGGGGGGGGGGGTTTAATTTTTGGGTTTTGGTTTTTTTTTTTTCCCCTTTCCCCTTTTGGGGGGTTTTTGGGTTTCCCCCTTTTTGGGGGAAATTTTTTTTTTGTTTTTCGTATTCTTCCTCTTTCTCCTTTTTCTTCCTCTTCAAAACAGTTTTAAGTTCTAACCATCTCGCGTCGTTTTCGATATTGGGGCCCTAAAAAAAGGAGAGAGGGGAGGAAAAAAAAGGGAGGGACGGGGGGAAGAAGGGGTAGGGGGAGGAAGGAAGGGGAAAGGGAGAAAAAAGGGAGCAGAGGGGGGGGGGAAAACCCCCCGGGGGGGGGTTATACTGCCCCCTTGGTTTTTAAAATGAAAAGCCTGCCCCCTCCAACCCAAATCCCCCCCCCTTTTTCACCGGGCCCCCCCCCCCCTTCCCACCCCCAAAAAAAATTGGAACCCCCCGTGCACCCCCAAAACCCAAACATCCGCCCCCAAAAGTGGGAGGAAAAGAACAAAACCCCTCTCCCGGGTCCCCGCCCCGTCACTTACCCGGGGTTTCCCTGGTTTCTCTTTTTTTTTTTTTCATTTTTCTTTCGCCTCTTTCCCGCCTTACATTAGTGAGTGCATACATAATTTCCACTGGAGTTACTATAATAAAAGCTCATTTGCATTTTTTCCCGGGGTCCCTTTTCTTTTTGGGGGAATTGTCGAGTGTACCACCCATACGTATTTTTTATGAAACAGACAGGGTTTTGTTGAATTTTTTCCCTTTTTTAAAAGGCCTGTGGCTTTCACCAAATAGTTCTTAGGTGTGTTATCATTCAAGAAAAGTTACAATATCAGTCTTACAAAAAAATTAAAAAGGCCCTTTCTTTGATTTCTTGTTTTTCCTAAATCGTGGTTTTAGGGAAAATCCTGGTTTTTCAGGCCACATCAGGCCTGGAAGTCACATTATGCTGGCTTGCAAAGTGATATGTATTTCCTATTGGAATCCAGACATAGCTAGGATATCCAACAGTTGGATTTTCTATTCACCCGCAACCCACATTCAGAATGACTGTCAGGATAATCGAAATTGATAAAGGAGCCTACCTAAACCATTTAAACTGGAACAACCATTTCAGTAACGGGTGCAATAAATCTAATTAACTAATTGGATTAGTTTAGAAAAATTTATGTTATTTATCTTTGTGTAGCATAAGATTAATCAATCAATCAGTGTACATGCAAAAACACAGTAGAGCATTCTGGGAATTCTGATAATGATGGGTGTGGTTTTGATGGGACCCGTTTTCCTCTCCACAGTGTAAAACAATAACTCTGATTATTAACTCCAACGCTGGGGGTAATTTTACACCACTGAGTGTTAATTTCACTCTTACTCTTGCTGAATCCACACTAGAAATGTTACACAGAAAAATCAACACTGGCCAATTTGCTTTCCCTCTACACCAGGGGTCGGCAAAAAGGTTATTTTCAAATACAATCTCTTTTTTGGCTTAGTTGTGGTCAATTTGCAGTTTACAAATTATTATAATTATGTTCCGGCCCCCCTAACACCCCTCCCCACTGTCCTGGCCCTGTTCCAAGTGCCCTGTATCCATCACAGCAGTGACCTCTAATCTCCTAAATTCACCCTTCTCTTTCCCTCCACACGGATCGCTTTCCGTTCCCACACCCCGACTGGCCCTCTCCTCCTGCTGGTGATTAAGACATGGGAGATGGTAAACTATAGCAACAACCTCACTAAACCACTACTACAACAGAACACTGAACCTGCCTGTCTATGTAACTACCATGTTTTAAGCCACTTACATTAATATCAAATTGACCCAATAGGACAAGAACACTAGACTCGAACTACACTGTGCCTGCCTATGGAACTGGTATCAAGTTTTAGGTAGTGAAATAGGACCGATTTGAAGGAGAACACAAAACACAAATAAATCCCATTGTAAACGTTAAACTAAGTTAGTATGTTACACTGAAGTGCCTAGGAACCATGTTATAGGCCACTAATATGAAATAGGACCAATTGAAGAAGACCACACAACACAAATAACTGACATTTTAAACGTTAAGCTACTGTATGTAATCAATCCTACCCTTGGTAGCCCAGGCTCTGAGCGGGCTGCTGTCGTCTATGATGTGGTAGAAGGTGAGGGGGAGGATGAGGAAGGGGCTGTCGCTGGACGTGTCCACCTGGAAGGGAACGTTCCTCTGGTCCAGACGCACCGTCTCCCCCTCCTTGGTCTGGGACGTCTGGAGCAACTTCCCCGTCACCTAGGAGCCAAAATGGAGTCATTTGGTTAGGGGACATGTGCGAGAATTCTGAAAAGAGGAGCGTCAATGGAAAATGACATTCTCACAGACTCACACACACACACAAACAAACACACAGACACACACTGTGTCTCTACCGAGCAGCCCAGCAGCAGGCTCTTGCGCATGTTAGCCACACGGATCATGAGGCAGGGTCGGCCCTCGTGATTGGACACCACGGCGTACTGGCTGAACTTCACTGTCTCTCCTCTCTTCTTGGGCCGCGCCACCTGAGGACAATGAGGAAGAGTGTGTCAGAGCCACACATTGTAGCATGATGAACTACACTACCCACAATGCTCTCTGGAACATATCCGGTTTCTGTAAATATTATTGTGCTGCACAACCTACTGTAAGTCTCCTTATCAATACATACAGGGCATGAACGTCATCTTAACCTCCGCCCCCGACACACAGAAACACACATATAGATAACTCTAATAGAGAGAGAGAGAGAGAGAGATAGAGAGTAGATAGAGATCTAAGATCTAGAGAAAGAAGAACTCTTCGATATCTCTCCTATAGCTCTCTTATTTTGGCCCTAAATGTGACATGTGTAGATCCAGAGTTTACCTTAGTGTTATATATCCATACTGTATAGCGGTGGTATACGTTATCAATGAATATGATGGATGGTAAAGTGAACATCTTATCAATCTGCCCAGGGGAAGGGTGAGGTACCTTGGCGAGGAAGGTTCCAGTGATGAAGATCTCCAGCACCATGGTGATGACCAGCTGGAGGATGAGGAGGATGATGGCGGCGGGACATTCCTCTGTGATGCAACGGAAGCCGTAGCCAATGGTGGTCTGCGACTCCAGTGAGAAGAGGAACGCCCCCGTCAGAGTCTGCACCTGCATCACACACGGGGTGTGGTTGGATGGAGGGTCAAACTCTGGAGGGAGGGGTGGTGAAGGGAGGCACAGGGAGAGAGGCAAGGTTGTGAGATTGATGTGGAAAGCAAAAGGTCTAAGGGTTGAAGATTATAGGGGAGGTACAACTGATTATATTGGTATTTTGCTATACAGTATCATTGCTCTCAAATGTCTTAGCATTCTCCCTCTCTCGCTCTCCCCTCCCTCCATCCTCACCTAGCAGGTCTCCGTGCACCAGCGCCACCAGGTACCACAGAACCCCGAACAGGAACCAGGTCCCGGCGAAGGTGGCCGAGAACAGGAAGAGCTTGTAGCGCCACTGCATGTCCAGGAAGGTCGTCCAGATGTCACGCAGGTACATCGCCCCACGCCCGCTCACATGCTCAATGCGCACGTTGCTGTGCCCGTCCTTGGAGAGAACGCGCCGTCTCCGTCGGAGCGCGCAGACCGCCGTTGCTGCCCCCCCTGCCGCTGCTGCCCCCCCTGCCGCTGCTGCCCCCCCTGCCGCTGCTGCCCCCCCTGCCGCCGCTTCCCCCCCTGCCACCGCTGCCACCTCTGCCGCCCCCCCTGCCCCCAGCAGCGGCTTCAGAACCGTCATGGAGTGACACTCCTTCTGGGGGGAGGAGCTGCGCGAGGAGGGGGGAGTGGCCGATGTCATGGCTGCAGCTTTATGGGGGGAAGAAGGGAGGGATGGTGGGGGGGGGGGGGTAGAATGGATAAATGGGAAAGGAAGAGGGTGACGGTGGAAATTAGAGTGAGGGAGAGGAGTGAAGAGGGATAGGGTGGCAAGCAAGACGAAGGAGTGGACGATGAGAGGAGTGCCGAGACCGGAGGATGACCAGAGACGGAGGCGTTCAGAGGGAAGGGGTGCCTGCCGCCGGCGTGCCGCGGGCGCTGGGTGACGCGGCGCTGGGGTTCCGCTGCGCGGCGTAGCAGCGCCTTCGTATTGCAGATGGCGCGGCGTGGCAAGATACGGAGTAGTTCAGCGGGAGCGGCGTGAAGCGGGCTCGGAGTGCATCACGGAGGAGTGAGATCCCTGAGGACGTGCAGCTTGGCGATAGTGCCGAGGAGAGCTGCGTGACGCGACCGGCGGCGTGCCGCTACGGCGGCAGTGCGCGGGAGCGCGTGCCGCTGGATAGCGTGACGCGACGGAGGACGTGCAGAGGGCGAGATGCACGCAGGGAGAGGCGTGAGACGCCGGCGGCGTGCCGCGCCGTCGGCTCTGGACGAGGGCGAGGCGGCTGAAGAGACGGATGGTTGCAGACCGGCGGGTTACGAGGGAGAGGAGTGAAGAGGGAGAGGAGTGAAGAGACGGAGGAGTGAAGAGACGGGCGGCGTGCAGGGAGAGGAGTGAAAGAGGGAGAGGATATGAAGAGACGAGGAGTGCACGACGCAGGCGTGAAGTTGAGACGTCGTGAAGATGGATAGGGGTGAAGTAGGGATACCTGGGTCAGAGACGAGGTAAAGTAACTTATTGTACGTGCGAAGCAAGTTTTGATGACCCCCCAGTGCAAAGCGTTTTGTGCGCACGGCGCGCCCTCGGCAAGGACGACTACCGAGCCACGTAGCGCAGAGGAAGGCAGCGCACGGCCCGGTTTCATGCGGGATGAATGACCAAGGTGACCGGGAGAGCAGTGGGGCGGGGGAACGACCCATGACTACCGGGCGAGAAAGAGAGCGGAGAATTAAATGGGAACATACTCTCTTTCATTTGGACAGATGCAGGCCTGTGGCTGTCAATGTGGTCCAAACTCTCTCTTTTATTCTCTCTCTTCATCCTTGTCTTTTCAGACAGAGAAGCAGCTGCCCTTTCAAAGTAAAAGCCCCCTTTCAGCGTGAAGTCACAGCTGTCTTTTCATTTTAAAAGCCCCTCTATAATGCTAAGGCGCTCAGATGTGTCTGCAGCACATCACGCTGGCTGGATCAAGAGGAACAGAAACAAGACGTACTTATTCCTCATCCAAAACCAGGAACAGAAAAGCTGCATGTAGCCTAGTATTTGGAGCACAGGAGGATGGTGGCAGCTTAATTGGGGAGGACGGGCTCAAGGTAATGGCTGGAGCGGAATGGGTGGAATAGTATCAAATACATCAAACACATGGTTTCCATGTGTTTGATGCCATTCCATTTACACCGTTCCAGCCATTATTATGAGCCGTCCTCCCCTCAGCAGCCTCCACTGATCTAGATCAACCATTTATGAATGTGCTTTGATCCCTGACACGATCTACATCTCTTTTATTATCCCTTCTTCCCTAACGAAATGAGATGACATTTTCAATCGTCTTACTGCTTTACACTTAGTGGTTGGCATTTAGTGTTTGTGCACTTTCATAAGAGTTCAAACTATGACCTTACCAGGAGCCTATAATAGTTAATTACGTTGATGATTAGGCCCATACTGCCCCAGTGGTCTACCACCATGTGCAGCTCCAATGGGACATTCATCAGCTGTCACATATTGATCTCATTTTCACTTTCCAATAAATGTGTTTTTGTGTCAGAGAATTACGCAGTGTGGTTTGTGGAGGAGTATAGAGCTTGTCCAAATCAAATCAAATGTTATTTGTCACGTGCCGAATACAACAGGTGAAGACCTTACCGTGAAATGCTTACTTACAAGCCCTTAACCAACAATGCAGTTTTAAGAAAATAAGAGTTAAGAAAATATTTACTAAATTAACTAAAGTTTAAAAAAAGTAACACAATAAAATAACAATAACGAGGCTATATACAGGGGGTACCGGTACCGAGTCAATGTGCGGGGGTACAGGTTTGTCGAGGTAATTTAGGTAATATGTACACGTAGGTAAGGTTAAAGTGACTATGCATAGATAATAAACAAAGTAGCAGCAGTGTACCATTTTTTAAAAATAGTCTGGGTAGCCATTTGATTCATTGTTCAGCAGTCTTATGGCTTGGGGGTAGAAGCTGTTAAGGAGCCTTTTGGACCTAGACCTGGTGCGCTGGTACCGCTTGCCGTGCGGTAGCAGAGATAACAGTCTATGACTTGGGTGGCTGGAGTCTTTGACACATTTTAGGGGCTTCCTGACACGGCCTGGTATAGATGGCAGGAAGCTTGGCCCCAGTGATGTACTGGGCCGTACGCACTACCCTCTGTCTGCTATCTATCAGGGCTAGTAAGAGGCTGCTTTTTCTCCTTGGGGATATGGAGACTTGTTGTTTGTGGTGACTTTGGCACAAGCATCCTTCTAGACTTTGTTCTGTATCTTCATCTGGACTCTCTCTCTATCCTTCTTTCGCTCTCAAACTTTCTATTTCTATCTCTCTATCTCGCTCTTTCCTCGCTTATTCTTTCCCTCCCGTCTCTAGTATCTCTCTTTCCGTTTCTTCCTCCAACACTTTCTTCTCTCTATCTCACTAGCTCTATCTCTATCTCTATCCTCTCCTCTCTCTATCTCTCTCTAATCTCCCCCCTCTATATCTCTATTTTCTATCTCTCTCTCTCTCATCTCTCTCTCTCTCTCTCTCTCTCCTCTCATCTCATCCTCTCTCTCTCTCCGTCTCTCTCCTCCTCTCTCTCATCCTCCCGTTCTCCTCTCCCTCTCTCTCTCTTCCTCTCTCCTCTCCCTCCCTCCGCTCTCTCTCTCTATCTATCTAGAAACTCTATTCTATCTATCTCTCCATCTCTCTCCTCTAATCTCCTCTCTCTCTCTCTTCGTCCTCTCTCTCTCTCTCTCTCTCTCTCGTCCCTCCTCTCTCTCTCTCTCTCTCCTTCTCTATCGCTCTCTATCTCTATATCCTCCGCTATCTGCTATCTATTATTTCGCTCCTCACCCTCTCTCTATCCATCTATATTTATCTATCTCTCTAATCCTTCTTTTCTTTGCTTCTGTCTCTGTCTCTCGCTCTTCTCCTCCCTCGTCCCTCTCCCTCTCCCTCTCTCTCTCCTCTCTCTCCTCTCTCCTCTCCTTCGCCCGCTCTCCGCTCCCTCTCCCCTCTCTCCTCCCTCTCTTCTTCTCCCCCTTCTCCTCCTCCTCTCTTCTCACTCACCTCGTCTCTCTTCTCTCTCCTCTCTATCTTCCTTTTCTAAATGGATCTTTTGTCTCTGGCCGCCTCTGCTTTCCAGACCAATAAAAAAATAACCAACTAAAACAAAAGGCAGAGAACTAGGCGATCTGATACGCTCTCTACTTTCTGACCTTTCTCTCTGTGTGTCCCCACTCGCTTACTCTATTCTCTCTCCCCCTCTCTCCTCCATCCTCCCTCCCTCCCTCTCTCCCTCTCTCCCTTCGTCTCTCTATGGTGCTGAAGCTCACACTGTGAGTATGAATAGGGATCTGTGTAGATTTCTGTGCTCAGAATACTAAATGGGGGGGGCGGTCTGGTTAAGGAGGCGGGGCTTCGGACAGGCGCGTGTGATAGGCCGAGTACATTCACAGTTGACCTCTGAACCCTACTGAGGCCCTGCCCACACATACAGTAAACACACATTCACATGTACAGGGACATACACAACACGGCCGTCACAATATATCAATGTTAATACTTCCGAAACAACTGTTACTATTATTATTACTATTATTATTATTATTATTACTATTATTACTATTATTACTATTATTACTATTATTATTATTATTATTATTATTATTATTACTATTACTATTATTTTCCTTTCAATACTTCTGTGTCTTCCTCTTCACTACAATCTCTCTTCTTTTGAATCAAATTATGCACTGTAAAAAAAGATTTGTTGACTCAATTTACAAAGGTTTGTTACCAGGCTGCCTTAAAATGTCATGTCAAGCAATTCGTGTGGTGATTCTGAGGGGTTGGGTTAAATGCGGAAGACACATTTCAGGTGAATGCATTCTGTTGTACAACTGTCTAGGTATCCCCCTTTCCTTTCCTCTTCTCCCTTTCTCCGTCTCTCTCTCACTCTGTCCTGTGTGCACAAGAATCCTTTGTTTAGAGAGATGAAAGGGACAAAAGCCACCATTGAAAAATACGACTGAGTGAGAGAGAGGGAGAAAGTGTGTGTGTGCGCGCATTGGTTTGTGTGACTTTGTGATCCTATGTGAGTATGTGTTCGAGGGTGTGAGGGGGAAGAGAAGGGGAAAGAGGGCTTGGATTAGAGAGAGAGAGAGAGAAGAGAAGAGAGAGATAGAGTCTAGAGAGGAGGCAGAGAGAGAGAGAGAGAGAGATCGGAGATAGAGATGAGAGAGAGGAGAGAGAGAGCGATAGAGAGAGAGAGAGAGCGAGCCCTTAGATCGAGAGAGAGAGGTTTAGAGGTGAGAGCCCTCTCTCGTCTCTCTATCGTATATAGATCTCCGTTGCTCTATAGAGTATCCCCTTAAATTGAATTGAGAGAGAGAGAGAGGTGACAAAAGATACTCATTAGTATTCCTGAGCAGTGTGATCCACCATACACCTTCCTGTCTCTCTGTGTGCACCCTTCCAATTCCCCAAACAACCTCTACACAACACTCCAGTGACTTCCAAACAACCCATGAAAACACTACAACATCCGCCCCACAACACTGAAAGGACCCTATAAATCAACATTGATGCACCCAGCCAGGTGTGAAGTGGAGATACTTTGCTGCTGCCCTGTGCTCCAGTCAGTGTGATGTGAATGAGTTTGAGAGTCTCATGTACCCTACCTAGGCGACACTTGAGTAACTCTAATGGACA